TGGAAAACATTTTTTTAAAACTGGTTCTGCTCTTACACAAACCGGCCAATAGATGTCACTGTTGCCCCCTGGGTCAAGGAACCAAGCCAGAGCCAGAAGCAAATGTTGCCCAGATAGGACGCTGGACAAGAATCCCAAACGGAGGACTAGAAAGCGATAATCATATTAAAAAGTCAAAGTTTAGAAACTAAAGCTAAATTATGTTTTACATATATATTCTAAAGCTAAGTTTTCTGTTTTCTCACTTTATTGGCTAGTAACAAGGAGCTGGCCACACAGGCATCTTCTGTAACTGCAGCCCCAGTTCAAAGAGGTGAGAAGTTGTGAAAGTTAGAGGGTGTGGACATCCGACACACAGCAGAAGGAGGCCACGAGCCCCACGTAATGACTTTCCCCCCGTGCTTCAGATTTCTGTGGGGCAGAGGCAGTGCTCACATATCTCTGAGCACCAGGGTCAGGCACCCAAAAGGGAACTGAGCCCAGCCTCTGGGGCGGGGGGCATCTAGTCTGGTGCAGACAATGGGCCAGAAAACAAATCAGCCCACATGGAAGCCTGCGGGTCTGGCAACAGGAGGAAGACAGGTCAGGAAAGCAAAGGGGACTCTTGAAACGTCCTGCTGCTCTCTGTTGGGGGTAAGGATCCCGGGCAGAGGGCACTGTGGGAGCAAAGGCGTGGGGGGCCTGGAATAGCTGGATTGTTGTACTAAAAATCTGAGTAGCCTGGTATGGCTGGAGAATGGCATTCAAGAAGTCATCTAGCATGGCTGGAGGACAGGCTCAAGGACAGAGAGTGAATTCAGTGCTGGCAGACTAGCAGTCTAGCACTTTTTCTTTACCCCTCCAGGTCTTAAGTCACTGGAGTCCAGGGCCAGCAGCCTGGTACTGTCCTAACTTGTTCTTGTCCCAGCATAATTATTAATAGAGGTCCCTTGTGCTCTCCAAGATTTCCTAGCTTGGACAGTCACCTTAGTTAGGACTTAACCCCCCCTTGCCTCCACTATCCCAGTGACCCCATCTTTACTAAGCACAGAATGTGGCCCATCTCAGCAGGTGCTAGCAGAGATGAGAGACTTAGAAAGGATGATTTTCAGGCAGAGGGACCTCGGAGCCTGGGGGTCCAGCAAACCCCTTTCTCCTCTCAGAAATGGGAAGAGATATCCCTTTTTTTGAGAGGGAGCCCTCAGCAGGGTTTCTGCTGGTAGGGGGCTGGATGGGGTTTCTGAGGCCTGCAGGAAGCTGCTGATAGAGGTTAAAGAGGGCTCCCCACTCCTTCTTTATTGGCTTCTTATCTCCAGGTCCCCACAGGCCTGGCCGCAGGAGGCAATGACCACAGAGGTACAGATACAGAGTCAGGAGTTTGGGAAGCCCGGCCAGGTACTCAGACCCAGAGCAGGGCAAGGCAAGACCCCAGGGGGCATCTGGAGCTGTGGATCTGCTCTGCTCCTGACACTTGGTGTGATCTGGATGGGCTCCTGCACTCGCTGGGCCTCAACTTCCCCATCAGTACACAGAAGAGTCAGCTGATGTGATCTCCAGAAGATGGGCCTCCCCTGGGCAAGTCACCACGAAGCAGTGCTGAAGGAAGAGGGTAGAGGCGGAGAGAGGGGGGTGAGGGAGCCAAGAAGGGGACTCAAGGCAGCCAAGCGCATTACCACAGGAATATTAACTGCCCCGGTCCCTTCTCCCAGTCCAGGAAAGGCCATGCCCATAAATTAGGGCCATAAGTCTGCCAGGCAGACTTAATGAAGAAGGAGATGGACCTCAGTGAGAGCAGACAGTGCCTCTGGAGGTCACAAATCCAGCCCCAGTCTGGAGAGAAGGAACCTGGAGCCAGGGAAGGGCAGGGGATGTCCATGGCCAGGGGTGGAACAAACCTGGTAGGTAAAAGACGGTTCTTAGGTGTTCATTGCTGAATCCCCAGCACCCAAGCACACAATGGGGCCTAACCTGTGTTTCTGACTGAGCAGGGACCAGACGACACGGCAAGTCATGCTGAGCTCAGACTGAACGCCAGCCCTCTGGACTCCAGCTGGGCCCTCACTGGTTCTCATCCCAGAACTGAGGGGTCTGGGGAAGAATGGGGTCGCAGAAGTAAATGCCTCCTCTGATAGTGATCATGGCTCTCTGTTTTTGAGAGGAAATTTCAGGTTTCACAGGGTCACCAAACCCCAGGAAGTCTGACGGGTTTCTTGCCTCAGAGCCGCCTCCTGTCTGTCACATTTCTGACAGTCACACATCTTTTTTCTCCCTTTCTACCTGCTCTCTATCCTACCTGCTCTTAAAAAAAAAAAATTTGGCTGTGCTGAGTTTTAGTTGCAGAACTAGTGAGATCCAGTTCCCCAACCAGGGATGGAATCCCAGGCCCCTGCATTGGGAGCACCGACTCCTAGGCACTGGACCACCAGGGAAGTCTTTACCCTACCTGCTCTTTAAGGGCACATCCTGGTTGGAGCTTCCCCACGGCACTTGGCCCCTGCAGTCCCCTGCCTACCTCACACTTCCAGCAGCATTCACAGCATCTGATTAGAGGGGGAGGCTGGCCATTCAGTGGGTCCTTGGTGCTGCTGAGAGGGTCTGCAGTGAGGGGGTGACATCAGGGTGTCAGGGGAGAACCAGCCAGACACCTCCATCTCACCTTTTTCTGCAAGGCCTCTTTGCGGCCCTTCCCCTTACCCCCATGCCCATCTGACCTCCTGTGGACACAGCTTAGCTGATTCCTCTGTCTCCTGTGCTCAGCATGAGGATTCCTTGCCACAAAAAGGATGGACACAAAAAGAAGGAAGGAACAAGCGAGAGAAGCATGCAGTTCTCCTGGCCCACATATGGCATCTCCCTGCTTCCCTGGGTTCTCCTCTGAGGGTGGAAGTCCCTCTAGTGCAGTGGAGGGTGAGCGGAATGCAGAACCATCTTACCCACAAACATCTTCCTATCTACCCCAGCCATAAAAGGTCTTTTTGAATTCTCAGATTAATAGATCTTCCTGCCTCCACGCCTTTGCAGAAGCTGATTCTTTTGATCCTTCTCTGTGCAGCAAACTCCTATTCATCCTTCAAAACCCTGTTCGAACATGACTTTAAGAAATTTCCTTAGGCTGGGTACAGGGGCCTCTACTCTGAGCACGCAGTTTCAGGTGACTTCGTTTCTCTAGAATTTGATTGAATATAATTTCTCCCCCAGGTCATTAGCTTTTCTAGGACTGGCAAAATTGTATTCAGTAGAGAGTTAGCAAATGTCTGGATCTGCAGTAGAGACTGGGGCCCCTGGGGACCTGCTGATCATGCCATAAAGCCCAAGGCCACTGCAAGACTGCAAGAAGAGAAGCAGCTCAGAGACAACATTTAATGGGAATCAGTGAATGACACTAAGGTTAAATGTCAACTAGCATAACTTAGGTACTCAATTTGTTGATTTTTGACAACTATTGATTTGATATTTAGCTTAGCATCAGCTCTCTCATTGAAAACCCTCAAGGATTTTTGCTGACAGTGAGCCACAGCTAGTAGTATGTTTTATATGCCAGGACTTACTGCAGTCTTAGGTTACAGTGCCAGAGGACATGTCTTTGGAACTGAGGGTGGGGGTGACCTGTTAGAGATACAGTTCTCTAACCTTGTTAGAAACCATTACTATTTTGTCCTGTGGGACTGGCGGGGCACTCTTTGAGGGCCACTGACAGATGGAAATGCTTCAAAAGAATTTAACCCTTTCTCATGAGGAATGACTGAGAGCAGGTGTAGGGAATCTGCTTGGAGAATATAAGGAGACTCGTACACTGCCAACCACTCGGAGAAAAGCCAGCTGGGGTGAGGACTGTTCCTGGCCCCAAGGCAAAGCTGGGACTGTCAAGGAGTCCCAGGTTGCTTTCTCTGGCCCTAAAAGTGGAAGGGAGGGATTGTGCTCCTCACAGAGAGAGGGTGCTCCTTGCTGACACAGTTTACCAGGTTTCCCACATCACCTCGGAGGTCCCTTTCAATGTTTAGAAGACACACATTCTAGAACTTCAAGATTCTAAAATGCCAGAATTCTAGACATTCGCCCTGCAGTTCCAGGGCTCTGAGACCCTAAATGCAAAATAATCCAGCCTGGGGATCTTGAGGAGGAGAGAGCCTCTTGTCCTGACCCCACTGACCTAGAACCCACCTGTCTTCTTGTCCACACATCTCAAGGGGCTATTCTACACACAGACACACACACACACTTTTCTGGTGTGTCTCCTCTGCGTCTCTTATATTCTCGGTGTAGGTCTTAGCCCTGCAGCCAGGAGAGCGTGGCATGAGACAGGACATAACGGAGGGTCAGGTAACTCAGCAGAGGTGCTGTGCTTAGTCGCTCAGTCGCGTCCGACCCTTTGACACCCCATGGACTGTAGCCTGCCACGCTCCTCTGGCAAGAATACTGGAATGGGTTGCCATGCCCTCCTCCAAGGGATCTTCCCAACCCAGGGATCGAACCCGGGTCTCCTGCATTGCAGGCTGATTCTTTACCATCTGAGCCACCAGGGAAGCCCAATTCAACAGAGGAGATGATGCCAAAGCAGCAGATCACGCGTCCTCCTCTTTACTGCCTGAATTAACTGCCTCTGATTCTCTGTAGCTGGACTTCCTCCCTTGACAGCCTCATCTGATGCTAGTTAATTTATCAGTCTAACAACATCACCCCCACGACCCCCCACTCCACTGAGTGTTGAGGAGTCGAAGGGTACGGGGATGAAGAGGAAGCATAGGGTCCCACCCTGGCTGTGGATAACTCTACCTCAGAATGAAAAGCAAAACTGGTTTGGAGAGCCATGCCATCCCAATGGGAAGTCCCTCCATATGTCTAGCCCCAATCCTACAGTGTGCGGTCAGAGCCCGTTTTTTCCCCCACAGTCTGAGAAAAGACATCAAGAGTCACTGCTTCATCTCAGGAAGGTCCGAAATGCTCTAAGTGTCCCCTCCCACCCCCTTCAGTGACCCAGGTCAGCAAGAATGACATGGCACCACTTCCAAGAGCAGAGTATCTGAGACTATTGCAGACTTTATAGAAAACTGCCCAAAGGAGATCCAGATTTCCGGGGGCGAGGGCGGGGGGAGCCTCAAGCCAATATGTTGGAGAAGGGTGACTTCCTGTGCAGAGGCAGCACAGGCCAGCCATTCTGCTTGACCTAGGGGTGGGAGTCAGGGAGAGGTAGCCCCCTCCCACTCGCCAATTGTGCTTTGGGATCATGCAGAAGGCAAGGCGCTGAGGCTCTGACCCTGGACAGGAGGGCTTGTGCCTGAGACAGGAGGAGAGGCCCCCTTCCTCTTCCAGAAGTCATATGGGGCAGGGGGTGGGCAAGGATGGCAAGGTGGCAGCAAGGAAACCTCAGGGGAGAAGACTCACATGGGTGGGAAAGAGGATGTGGCCAACAGCTCCCAGCCCTTCAGAGCCTCCTCCTCCACCCCTCTCTGTGGCACAAAGGTCAGCTGACCCTGCTTCTAAGGTCAGCCCATCTACTTTGCACCGCCAGGACTCTCTCCTCCAGGATCTCTCATGAGGATCTGCTAGCATGGTTGGGGGCGGGGGGCAGTGCTTGGCACATGCCTGTTCTGCAGGGCTAGAGAGCTCATCCTAAGAGGAAAGGGGAGGTGGGTGGGCATCTTCCAGGGATGGAGTCCTCACTGGACCTGACCCAGTGAGTGGCAGATGTGGGTACTGAGTGCAAGCAATGGGTGTAGAGAGAACTGAGAGCCCAAAACTTGGGTAGAGGTATGAAACTCAGATCGGGGCGAAGAGCTGAGAGTCTCAGATTGGGCACAAGGACTGAGTACTGGGGTATGAGAGCCCAAAGTGGGAAATGCTGACGATCGGCTCCACACTAAGGGTTTAACTGGGGTGTCCCTGTCCCTGTGATGGGAGAGTTAGGAGCTGAGTGCTAAGCCTGGGCCAAGGAGGGGCTTGAGCTAGAGCTGGGGTGGTGGGTGGTATGAAATACATCCTCAGATTGGGGGAGGGTGCCCAGCCCTCACAGCCCCCAGATGGAGGTCTGTATGCAGGATGAGCTGGTATAAGAGAAAAAAGGCTCAAAGTCTACAAAAACCTTCTGAAGGGGGTGCTCTGAGACTAGAATGGGATGTGAGGGCCCCTGAGCCCTAGAAGGGAGCTGCGGGCTTCAAGCTGGAGTGCAGTTTAGGGGGATGTTTCCTGCTGAGAGGTCTGGGTTCAAAGCACAGGGTGGTGGAAGCAGTCTCAGGGCCTTGGGATAGAAGGACAGGGTCTCCGAGTGAGTCCTGAAAGGGGGAAGGGGCTTCGGGTGGTTCAGGAGGGCTGTCAGAGCCTGGGATGAGTGAATGGGGCGTTCTGGAATCAGAAGAGGGTGTCTCTGGGTCTTCGATGGTGACAGCTCTCAGAAGCTGGGGAGAAGGGGTACAGCTCCAGGCCCCTGGATAGGGGAGATGCCACAATCCAAAGGTCTCAGGGCAGGGGCAGGTCTCAAAGCCTCAAGCTCGCGGGTGTCCCATACCCACGGTCTCGGGCGAGGTGGCCTCAGTAAGGTCATCAGCTGGCTGGGGCAGTCCCCAAGTCAGAACAGGCGAAGCTCAGAGGCCTGAGCCCGGGGAAGTGGCGCGAGAGCCGGCGGGGGCTGCCGGGGCGGGCGCGCGGCGCGGGTCGGCGTCCTGCTCGTAGCGGTAGTGGTAGCCCTCCATCTGGTCCCGGCACGCCTCACGCAAGTTGCGCATCCAGCGCTGGATGCCGCGGCGGTTTAGGTAGAGCACCATAAGGAAGATGAGGCCGATGAGCGCCAGAACCAACCCGAAGAAGACGTAGGAAGCTTCCAGCTCGGGGCCGGCGAGTTCCACTTCATCCCCGCGACCGTCGGCATCGCCGTCGGCGCAGCGCAGCCGCGCCTCGTCCAAGTCCAGGAAAGGCAGATTATGCAGCGCCCGCGGGGCGGCGCAGCGCAGGCGCCGCGCGTCGGGTACGCGCTCCGTGGCGTTGCGCAGCCAGGCCAGCAGGGGGCGTGCGGCGCAGCCGCAGCGCAGGGGGTTGTCGGCGAGCAGCAAGCGCGGCGCGGGGAGGCCGCCATCGCGTTCGAGCACCCTCAGCTCGTCGGGGTCCAGGCCGGCCAGCGCGTTGAGGTGCACATCCAGCTGCTCCAGGCGCGGCCGGCGCAGAGCGGCGGGAGGCAGGCGGCTAAGTGCGTTGCCCGCCAGGCCCAGGAGGCGCAGCTCGTCGAGCGGAGCGAGCGCGGCGTCCAGCGCGGCCAGCAGTGCGGGGCCGCCCCGCGCCAGCGCGTGGTTGAGCTGCAGCGAGCGCAGCGCGGGCAGCCCGCGGAAGGCGCCGCCGCCAAGGGTGCGCAGCGGGTTGTGGCTCAGGTCGAGCGCTGTGAGGCTGGGTAGCCCGTCGAAGGCGCCGTCCTCCACCACCTCGATGTTGTTGTGCGTGAGGCGCAGCGCGGTCAGGTGCGGAAGGCGCACGCCGCCCTCCGCTGCCTCCTCCCCGTCCGCGTCCCCGCCGGCGAAGGCGGCCGCGCGCAGCACCGTCAGGTTGGCGCCCACGATGGTGAGGTTGCGCGCGTCGGGCGGCACGTCCCGCGGCGGCTGCCGGAGCTCGGCGCCGGACGCGCAGCGCAACATCAGCTTGGGGCCGCCGAAGCAGTAGCACTGGAAGGGACAGGGCGCGGCGGGTCGGCTCAGCGCCGCCGCCACGAGCAGCAGCCCCGGCAGCAGCGGGCCCCTGTGCTCCGGCTGTCCCGCGCGCGGGGCCATCGCAGCTGCCCCCACATCCAGCGCCCGGGTCGCGGCGCTCACCAGTGAGTTCGGAGCGCCTTGGGGGCGGGGAGGGGGGCGGGTGGGGCAAGTCCTTGACTCGGAGCGCCCGGCGGTCGTGGTCCTTCGGTCCGCTGGCTCTAGAGTCCGAGGAACCTTCACTTTCCTGGTTGGGGCGAGAGGGGACAGGCAGGGAGCGGAGCCCCCCGCCCCCGGTGCCCTCTTCGCCCTGCGCACCGGCCTCCGACTTCCGCGGCTGTTCTGGGCTCAGAGCCGAGTGGGCAGGGTTTGCCTCCCCCCTCCCCGCCTCCCAGCCGCCTCCTCCGCCCCCAGCGGTGTCTCCGCTCCCTCCTAGCGGAGAGGCGGGGTGGGAGGCTCCCGAGAACCAGGGCTTTGGGCTGCTGCTCTTGTTCTTCTCCCTTTCGGCTCCCGGACTGCTGTGAAGTTTGACTCTCCGAGGTTCTGACTTAGTTCCCTCTCATCTCCCCCACCCTCCGCGTTTAAGCTGGTTCCTTCCTCTTACCTCTCAGGCACGTGTGGGGCGGGGCGGGGCCGGGCAGGGGAGAGCTGGCAGGTGGGTCAGCATCTCCAAGGGAGAATTCAGGGGCAGGATTTTAGAGTTCCTCCTCCAAGTGCAGGCAGGGATGAGGGGTCAGCTGGGAAAGTTCCTCGTTTTTCAGCTGCTTCCTAATTCCTGTGATCAAGGAGAGGGCTGTGCTAGGAAAGGAAAATCCCCAGCCTCAGCCCCCTCTTCTGCCACCCCAGTTACATCTGGTCTGGCTCTGTCAGCATCCCTGCACGTTCCGGGAGACCTCCGTCTTTTCCACCCCACCCCACCTACCCGAGGAAGTCAAGACAACCCCCTCTTCCTTCCACCCCTCCTCCCCCCAAGTCACTGGCTGCTCCGCCAGGATTTCTTCCGTCTGGTTTTCTCTACCAGGCTGGACTCCTCCCCCAAGCACTCTCCTAGGCCCTGGGGCCCGGTGGGTGTGGTGATTCAGCTCTTTGCTGCCCCCCCACCTTGCCCCAGCACCTTGGACCCCTGCTTGGTTGTCCTGGGTCTCAGGATCTTAGGGTTGTTGGATGACATCAGCTGCCCCTCCTCCTCTCCAGGGTACCCCACCTGTAAATGGTGAATGGGTAGGAGGGTTTGGGGCTCTGGAGGTGGTGAGACCAGGAGCAGATTTTGCACTGTTGGAGTAGGGGGTCTCAGAAGGGACCAAGGCTGAACTGTTTATAGGTTTGTTTTGTTCTCGATTCTCTCCCCACCCCCCACCCCCCATGAATTGGGAAGCTCCAGGCCTGATTTAAAGAGACAGGCTTCTGAGAAGGGAGCTCTCCTGGCCTTGGCATGAATTATTCAGGCTGTAGAAGTTGACACTTGATCCTCAGGCCCTTCTGGTATGAGCGGAGCTGGTTGGGATAAAGGCTCCCCCCAATCTAAGAAGCAGCCTCTTTCTCCTGAAATTAGGGATTGCTGGGTTGACTCCTTCCCTGAAAGTATATTTAACTGATCAACCAACAGATCAATACCACCTAAGGAGAGGCCTGGGTCTCAGACAGGGGTCAGTGTTGAGGTCCAGGGCTGTTGATGCTGGGGGTGGGAGGAAGACCTCACCTTCTCCTTCCTGCTCTCTCTCCTGTCCCTACTGTCACTCCCAGGCTTTGGCAGATGAGAATAGTAACTTGCACATGCATATTGGACATGTCTTTTCAGAAGTGGGGTTGTACACTCACATGTATGTGTAGAAGCAAACTTAACATGTAAGCAGGCCTAGGTGTGTCCGCATGTGAGCACATACACACACTCATGCTCACTTGTGTGTGCCTACACATCCACAGGAAGGCTTGCATAAGCTTGTGCACAGTTCCAGGCAGGATCAGATGTGCTTCTTATATGTACTTGCAGGAGCATTCATACATGTGCACATGTGAACATAGATTTAAGTGCATTCTGGTATGTGTCCGTAGATTCATAAGCACATACATATTTGAACATTCATACTTCTGGGCCCATGCAGGTAGCTGGGTGTGTTCTCAGAGGGACAAGCTAACAGACTTATGCAAGCACATGCATCCAGAGGTCGGCCAACACACTCTGAGCCCACTCCTGCCCTCCACCACCCCCTTGGTCCATGGAGTTAACAGGGTGTGGTGTTTTTTCTTATATGGCACAAGAGCTCAAGCAGGCCATAGATGCTGGGCCCTCAGCTTTGCATTCACCCCAGCCCTGGCCCTTGTCAACTCCAAGCCCCAGCTCTGACATCTTCCGCAGTGCGAGGCACTGGCTCTTCCTCACTGTTGTGTTTCTGGTACACAGACTAGTGCAAGAGACTATGCTGTAAATGTTTGTAAATGAATGAGTGAATGAAAAGGTCTTTGGTTTCCTGTCCTGCTGCGTACAGCCCCTTCAGCCTCCAGCCACTAAGACATCAAAGGCCAGCTGTCAAGGCCAGCTCTCCCTTCTCAGGCCCCGTGGTGGCTGGTTTCTGATTGGCTGTGGCCCTCCAGGGGAAGCCCTGCAGGGGAGCCAGCAGCTTTGGTGGTGGGGATGGGGATATGTGTGCATTTGTTAGACACCTCTGTTGGGGAAAGGAGGCCCAGAGAGAACCTAGGACCATCAAATGACAGAGAACAAGGCAGTGACTGTTTTATAAATGGGGTGGTGAGGCCAGAGGCCAGGGACTTGTGAAAAAACTTGTGGTCCTCGGGGCTTTGCCTGGAAACCTGACCCCAGCTCCTGGCCCAGGGCTCTGTCCAAGGTAGTAGGTGTGTCTGAGTGGCCAGCATCACAGGAAAATCTCTTCTTGACCCCAGGGATCTGAGGCCAATATAGGGTCTGAGGCAGGTAGGGTCTGGTGTGACCTTGGACCTCTCTCCACCTCTCGGCTGTCAGCTTCTATTTCTGCAGAGTAGTTGGGCTTCTGAATCTGTCATTTCTGGTCCTTTTAGAGCTATTGTGATAATGTGAAGGGAAAATGTTTTGAAACAAGAAAAGCCATATCATTAGGGTCTAGGCACTTAGCACCCATGTGACTCTGGATGAGGCATTGCCCTTTTCTGGGATTAATTAGTTTCCATGCTTTTTGGCTCTGTTCCATCTTCCTTCATCCCCCAACACCTTAAATTCATGGTAGATAGTACAAGGAATGAGTCTCCATTTGCTGTCTCTCTCTATGCCTCTACCCTGCCTTCTCCCCTGTCTCCCCTCTTTCTGCAGGTGTTTCTTATCTCTGTCCAGTTTCCCTTGGAACCAAGTCTGTGAGCCATTTGGGGGGTCTCTGTTCTCTGGAGGAACAGCCTTTGGCGTCTTGGGAGTAATCAGTGTTCGGTATGTAGTAGTTGTTCAATAAATGCATTCAGTAAATGCGTCGTGAGGCTGTGTGTTTATTCCCTGAGGCATCCCATGGATTGCTCACTGTTTGACTCTCATGGGGTGCTCTCTCCCCTTGATTTGTTTCCTCCAGTCTGGCCTCCTGTCCCTCAGGGCTCAACTTGAGTTCTGTCTCCTCCAAGAAGCCTTCCTGGCTTCCTTCTCTCTCCTTTGAACTTCACACTGACTGATCAGAGGGCTAGAGCTGTCCTGAGCCCCTTGACTGTCAGCAGCTGGAGCTCACGACAAATCTAATTTCTTGTGTTGTCAGCACACAGCTTAGAGCTCAGCATGCCAAAGGCATCAGGGAACATTTACTAAATGAAATAATGATTTAAAAGTCTCTGGCTCGATCCACCCCTGTGAAGCAGGCTAGGTGAGGATCCTTCACCTATGCTTTACAGCAGGAGACAGCTGCCCAGAAAGGTTAAGTACTTTCCTCAAGGTTGCACAGCTAACTGGAACCCGAGCCTGGTAGGAGCTCAGGTTTCCTGCTCATCTTCTCTGCCGCAGCCCTCCCCATCCTAGGTTCTCTCTCTAGGGAATGTGACTGGGTCAGATCCCAGGGGAGCTTGTGGGCAAAGAGCTCAGGCCCTCAGGGTTTCCTCAGGACTCAGCAAACAGATCACCCCAGCCCCACCCAGGCAGAATGATCATGTCTGCCATGTGCCAGGCTGTGAATCAACCATGTCAGCCTCGAGGGACCTGAATTCTTGAATTTGTTACCCCGCTAGGTCCCAGAGCCCCTCTCAGCCTTCCAAGGAGCTGTGCCTCACCTAAGCCCCAGTTCCTACATCCTCTTCTCCCTGCAAAGGCCCTACCCTCTATACACTCCACTAAGCCTTTATAGGGAAACTGGATGGGTGTTCAGCTTCCCTGAGGTCGCCCAGCAGGTAGCTCTTACCCATCTGCCTCCAGCTCCATTTTCTCCCTTAGGGGCGACTCGGTGTTACTGGAGCCTGTGGGCAAGTGTGTCTTTCCACCTCTGTTTCCCTGTTTGCAAAGGTGTATGTGTGTGTGCAAGGGGATGATCTTGGAAGGCTTTTAAGTACTGTGCCCCATGGCCTTTTAGGGACGAGGATCCTGGAGCTGCCCAAGCTGGTGCCCCCATCTTTTCAATATGTGACCTTGAAGTTGGCCACACCCTTAATTATCAAGTGTGCTAGGATGTCCTGTGGCTCCTCCTAAGTCCCCTGCTATAGCAGCCTGCAATCCAGGCTCCCTCTTTCCTGGTTGCCCTCCTGCTGCCTGCCTTTCCCTCTGCTCCCCCTTCCTCTGAGGCAAGTGGAGGAGCAGCCTGGCAGGCCTGACATGATGAAGCTCAGTCATTAGGTAGTGGGGGAGGCCCCAGGTTCTCTCCTGTATCTCCGGCTCTGGTGGGGAGGGGAAAACTCCACTGCAGGCTTTACTGTTCCCATTTCTCACTCCCCCCCTCCCCCACCCCACTGCCACGAGACACAGGAAAATCCATAGACCCAAGATCCATTTTCTCCATTGAGTCAGCAGAGGCCACACTCTGCTTCTGAGGGACTGGCAACCGGCTTTTAAATAACTCTCAGATATTTAATACCCTCCTCCTCCACTCTGTGGCCAGGGCCTCTGGGGAAAGCCTAGAATAAAAGTTGGATGAATCCTCTGAAAGTCATAAGTGCTCCTGCCCGCACCTCCACCCACCCTTCCCCACCCAGACTCCCAGGCCATGGAGGAAAACCTGATTCCTTATCACCTTTGCACAGTGCTTTAGAGTTTCTAAGTGGTGCCCCTGACTTGGTT